CAACGACTAAACTTTAGTATCCCTGGTTCCGAAGCGGCCCTCTCGTCATACCAGCTCCTGTTCGCTGATCCGCTTCGTGTGATCCGTAGAGCTGGTCCGGCTTGCTGATCCGATTCGTGTGATCCCATTCGACCCTGTCCTGATCCGACACGTCGGGCCCCCCTGATCCAGCTCGCACCACGTACTGATCCGTTACATTTGAGCTGATTCGTGGGTCTACCGTTTGCATTACTCGGCATCATGACAGTTGTGCTGAGCATGGGCCAACCCAGGCCCAAGACGGAGAAGCTTGAGGATTTCATGAAGCAGCGGGAGGCCTGACGAGAGCAATTCCGTGTAATGAACCAGGTTTTGGAGAGATTCGAGAGACTGTGTGCTGAAGACGTGGATGGTCATCACTTCTACCAGGCGCGGGCGTGGGATCAAAGCGCTGAGCTTGACCAAAAGAAGAAGGCAAGCCCGAAGCCTCTCAAGGCTGATGACTTGAGGCTGAAACCCTGGAAGGTACTTGACAAGATGAAGAAGGAAGAGCAGTGGTCGGAGGACGATGCATGGAGGCTTGGGATGGTAAATCTGATTGACACACACCTCGTAACAAGACCTGAAAGCTGTTTTCCAAAACCCCCACCCCTCTGACCATGCACTGCCTGAAGCTTTGTGCAGGGAGCAGAGACTTGAGCACCGGAAGCAGATTCAGGAAACGGGCGGGGAACAGGGAAGTATTCGGGTTATGCATGGGCAGACTGCAAGATTGCATATTTGGCATACCTGGTTGCATTCCAAGCCTTTGCGATTGCTTCGTGTTGGCAGGAACGTGGGCAGGCGCAGACGCAGCAGATGTGGGAGGCAAAGCAGGCCGGTGGATCTAGAAAAACCTGGTGCTCCCAGATGCAAAGGTTGTTGGGGACTTCAGTTAAAGACCATCATCCACAGCATCAATAGATTCTCAAGACAAACATTCCGGAAAAAAAAGAGTGTGACGTGTGCTTTCCAATCCAGCCTTGTCGCGGTTACCGCACGACAAGCTGAGAACTGTCTAGGCAACAAGTCTGAACAGCTGTATTTCGGAGGTGTCTATGCTGGGTTTGTAGAGGTCGCAAGCGTCGAGGCGATCATAGAGTGAGAATTGAACGCGGGCCAGCCAGGTGGACCGCTGGTGCCAGCAGCGTCTTCGCGACATGCTGGTGCCGCTGACTGTGCCGTTGCAGCATTTGAAGGGCGGGAGTTGCTCGAGTGTATGCCTATTGGTTTGGATCCTGCACTGGGCTCATTGTTATCGGCTCATGACTCCCGGCCTGGTGGTTTTCATTGAGCAGCTATCAGCACTATGCATTTCGGAGCTCTACAGATGCAAGATCACTACGGTGAAGCCCAGGTCCAGGCAAACGGCCACCTGGCACCAGAGCTTTCGGCAGTGCTAGAGGACGGCTTGCAGGGCCTTGGCTTTTCATGCCCCAAGTTGGCAGAGTCTCAGCCTCGAAGCCTCGGAGTACCCTGAAGCGTGTTCAGCAACCTGTGGCTAGATGATTTGGATGCTTGTTGCCAGCAATATCCAGCAATGCATACATTCTGCTCCTGATGCCTCTGCTGCATGCCATCTCAAGCTTTTGGGCCAGCTACATCACGAGGTTCGATGGCATGACTGAGCTTAGGGTGCGGCATCAAGTTGGTCCATCGCCGTTTCACAAGTGCAGCAAGTCTGCGATGCTCCAGCCGGTGTGTACATTTTTTCCAGCACACAAAGACACGCGCTCTCCCCACTCTAGTCACTCATATCTGTCATACCTACAGGGCTCCAACCTTGTTGCAGAGCCTGATGCCACAGCCTGCTGACGATGATGAGGCGGGGCGGAATGGGCAGACACGAGACCCAACAAAGCACAACTCACCCCAAAATGTCTCCGTCAGATGGTGCTTCTAGCATCTTGCTGCTTAGCATGCCTCGTGAAGGCAGCACCACCAACGCTGGTTGCCCCAGGTCTGTACCTGGGTTCTGCAGAGCTTCTTGGTTGCTCTTGAAACATGCATTGGTTGAAGGATGCTGAAGGTCACGGAAAAAAGTCCGTCTTTCTCCTGAGGCACGCGCGGAGTCGCAGCGCGCTTCACGAGTACGAGCGGCCACTCAATCCCTTGGAGGGCTGCGCTCCCATCAGGTGCCGGGAGGGGGATAACTGTCAGGTGCTTGTGAGCCCAAGGGATCAGGTATGACGAGAGCTGTTTCGTGTTGACTGCGCTTGTGGCCTAGACTGAGAGTCTAATCGGTGGGAAAGCTGGAGAACATTGCAGATAAGGAGCACCACGTCTCCAGACAGCAAGAGATCCCACTGAACCTCAAGAAGATGTGAGCCGCAACAGCCCATCCTCTCAAACCATCTGAAAGCTGGGACACCTATTGAGCGCCATGTTGGATTTTTAAATTTTTCGTGCCCAGACAATTCCGTCTGCAGCAGGAGGGGGGGGGGGCTTGAGTACCGATGATTTGTTGCTCAGGCTGCGGCAAAGTCTGTCCTATGTGTGCTTGTGTATATCATTTTCCATGGCTTGATGACTTAATGGTTGTATCAGAGAGGACCATCATCAATGTGAGCGCGAGCGAGCCGCACCACTTTGCTAGTGCGACGCTGGGCTTGCATGGCAGGGACCGTGCGTGATGTCGATACCACATGATATCACAAACCGCGTTTGACACGACGCGGTGGACGTGCGTTTGAAGGTGGAAAGCTCTGCTCTTGTGTGAGGTTGACCTGATTTGAAGCTATATGGACAAAGGATGAGAAGCCAAGCCTCTAGAGTTGCCGAGATATTCCTGAGATTTCCTGAGATATTCGGCGCATCTTGTCACGATTTCTTGTTGGAAAGTCGCTTCAACCGCCCAGGACCCAGCCAGAGCACAGTGAACTGGACAAGGATGAGCAAGCTTTGTGTGCCTTGTCGTGAGCTGAGCTACGCCACCCCTCAGCACAGAATAGTAGAGCCCTGTGTGTATGGCGGTTTCGTGGTGTGCACGTTGATTCGTTCACGACGTATGTTGCTCGGTGGATGGCAAAATATGTTTTCTTGCTTGAAGAGCTCTGCTTTTCCTCTGAAACGCTGGTGCGGTAATGAGTACGTTTTTGCATCACGCCATGCACCTTTGCGTTCACACACCTGGGGAGTAAAATGATTGCCTTGACGTCACACCCGCTTCATGCCAGATAGATACTGTGTGTAACAGAGAGTGCTTTTCATGGCACCCCCCCTCCCAGATGGCCTTTTACAGACTGAGAACGTGTGTGTAACAGTCTGGCGTGCCAGCTGGTATGGTGCGAAGGCAACACTGCGGGTCTTCAGCGAACTCTCGTATTGCTGCATGACCAACCTAATGCTGATGCGGTGATGCAGTTCATACTCAGGTTTTCAATACCACCGCTGCATCCTCGAAAGAGATGGGGAGGAGGACGAGGCTGTAAAAGGGTCGTACATGCAAAGCGACTGTTGGCCTGCATGGCACGTGCACTGAGCCTATCGTTTCTCATGTAACCGTGGCTGCTCTCAGACAGGCGTTGGAGCAAGCAGCCTGCTTCGCGGAGCAACGCTTGGCTGCGATGCGGCCGGTGTTGGTGCACGGAGGCCCTGAGAAGAAGAGCAGCAAAGCGGTTGGCGAGTAGCCAAGTGAGTGCTGCGATGTGCTGAACTCCGGCTGTATGTTTACTCTTCTGTGTAGCATGAAGCTTTTCTGTGGAGGATTTTACTGTTACATGAGAGCAGAAGCAGTTCAACTTTTGTGCTCGACGTTGACATGGTCAGGTGATGACGCGCACGGCAACTCGCAGGTGCTGAGCAGTCCAGCAGAATCTGAAGACAGTCAACTCCTGCAACAGATTCACATGGCATTCATAGCGTACGGTGGTGTTACTTCGGTGGAGGCTGCAGCCGTGGTTGCAGCTCTGCTTGCCGCTCGGCGCTAGCCTAGCTACGCTTCACACATGGTGCAACTTTCAAATACAAGTTAAGTACAACCGTTTGTCTACTGCGGCCCTTTCTTCTGCCCTCAGCTGGCCAAAGTTCAGGTCCGACAGCACTGGACGCCGCAGCTGGCAGTGAAGGCCTACATGGGAACGAAGCCTTCAAAGTCAAATTCCAGGGAGGTGGGTTGTCAATATGGCCCGAAGCTGGGCGTGTACTTCATGTACTTTCTTGCAAGCTCAGGCCCACTCAGGACACAGGTGCTGCACAGAAAGCTTCTGCAAGAAGTGACAAGCTCTGACATTTCCCGAAGGCAGTGCAACAGCGACGGCCGATCCATGCCTGCAGAGAACTGTTCCCAAAGCCTGAGGGATTTCCATTTCTAAGCTATCGTTGCTTACTGTGCGGCGCAGTGCTGCCTTGTCTTGTTCCGGCCATTAAGGAGCACACGTCCTTCCGCAGCATTGATGGCAGCTTTGGAGCGCCTGGACACCGGGCCATTTTTGTATGCGGGGTGCGTTTCTGTCTCCCAGCAGCCGTTCTACACTGGAGGAGGTGGCAGCCGAGGAGCTGAAGAAGCCCAGTGCCTTGCTTTAACCAGGCTCAGCATTGTTTGGCCTCCTCAGCGCCGTTGAGTGAAGCTTTTGCTGAGGCTTGAAGCCTCCCTTGGCCGTGCTGCCACCGGCTTGTGCCGAGGAAAGGCCTTTCCCTGTTTTCGCGCATGCCACACTCCAGTGTTGAGAGGTCGTTGAGGGCTTCCTGTGGCTGGGGAATGCGGATGCCGCAGAGGGCACCGCTGAGCAGCTCGCCTGCTTAGTGGAGCTCATTTTGCTGTCTGGGGCGTTTGGGGGCTGGGGTGCGCAACCTGAGAGCAATAAGGAATGCCTTCGAAGCTCGCCGGCATTCTCGTCGGATGTCACTTACACCTTGCATCTTTTCCCACAGTGCAGAGCGTGTGGGGCCTGGCCGGCATCTTTCTCAACACGTTTTTGGTTCCTTCAGGACTGCTTGATCAATGCAACGGCGTCGTTGCCATGGGCTCCGTGCCGTGGCCGCTGTATGCACAACAAGGAATCTCAATGCTTCTGGAGGATGGCTGTTTTGAGGCGGGATCGAAGACCAGGGGTGAGACTAAAAAGGACTTCCCTTCGTTCCTAGTGTAGTACGCAGTCAGATGAACCTTACTAGTTGAGTGTATCTGCTGGATGCCCTTTAGCAGCGGTGGGAGATTCCCTGCATGCCAAGGCTGTAAGAATTTCAGTCCCACAACCTCACAGCAGGCTATAACAGTAAGGCCAGATGCAGCATTTGACATGCCAAAATCATGACCGGTCATTAATTATAATGCATAGCTATGAGTCGAAGCGGAAAAAGATCCTTGATTTGGGAGGAATCGGCAGGCTACGATTCGGAATAGAAATCGTGTGAGACGTGGTCACCTGTGTTGGCTTCCGATCCCAGGAGTGCTCCCTCACGACAGCTGCGGGTGCCGCTGGCGGCCAATGCTGGTCTACCGGACCCCCTCCAGGGTTTGGGACGCATCCAATTCTTCAAAGGCCAGCACCAGCAGGTCCTAATAAGGAGGCATGAGGGCATATGATTCCAACGGCTACCACTTTTGGGGATGCATGTTAGACTTGTTATTTCATTTTTTATTGCTTCTGGCCTTTGCTTTGGCTCTGCCTTCTCCAGCTGCTTTCTGCCTTCCATTCCAGCCTCCACTCTGTGCTTTTTGCTCTGCTGCCTCTGGCTTTCTGCTTTTTGCTTCCTCTGCTCTCTGCTTCCTTTGTGCTTCTTGCTTCGTGTTTGGTTGGTCTGCTCTTTATATCAGTGCTGAAACTGTTAATCACCCTATCTACCATTCATAGAGTGTTACCCGTACTACAAACAATGCCGTTATGTTGTTGCTTTTCGCACCTTCATGTTGTCGTTTGGTCTGTTTGGCCATCGCTGTAATTGCCATTCTCAACATTACTCTTATGATGCTTACTGTTCATGCTACAACTGTGATTCAGGCTGTCATTGCTACTGTGCTAATGTTATCGTCGAGTCGCGCCCTGATCGTTATTGTTACAACCATTGCTATAGCGGCCATCACTCAGGCTATTGTTGCTACTATTGCGCCTCCCATTTTTCCTATTCCTGCGACTGTTTCCGTTACGGTTACTTCTACAAGTAAATTCTTGTTGATGCTATTGCCATTGCTACGTTTCTTGCTATTGCTATGACGATGTCTATTGCCCAAATTATCCAACTCCTACTGACTGCTGCTATTGTTGCTAGTGCTAGCCGCACTCCTCCCCCCCCCCTCCCTGGTCGCACTATTACACTTTCCTGAACATGAGGCAAACACTGTGGAAGAGCGGTTAATTTTACCAAGGAAAAGGTGCTGCTGGTTTCTAAACTAACGACCAAAAATCCTAAGGGACATAGATACTTGCCAGTATCGCGGGAGCTTCTACTAGTACCGCTACTCCTACCTCTCCTCCTACTCCTCCACAACTACTACTGCTACTGCTACTGCTATTATTACTACTCCTACTCCTCATCTTCCTACTACTACTACTACTACTACTACTCCTGCCGCAACTGCTACTGCCTTGCTATTACTAAAGCTAATGCTGTCCTTGGTGTTGCTGCTCTTGTTCCGACTGCCATGAATGCTGTTATTGCTGTTGTCGTTATAATTGCCCTCGCTACAGTCACTAGTATGATTTCTCCTGCTGACTGTCGTCCTTGTTCTTATTGTTCTACACCTTCTTGTTCTCTTCTTGTAGCCACTAGTACCATTGTCATTCTAGTTGCGTTCATGCTGACACATGCTAATCATGTTTTGCGCGCCTGAAGGAGGGCATGGAGGGGAGGGGCTAGCCACCTCATCCCCCTCAACCCTTGTCCCCCGCTCTGAACAGCTGAGACATTCTGCATTTACGGTATTTGAAAAGCATCCGCGCAGTATTTGTGACTTCCCGGAAGCCCGGCCAAAGCTGGGATTCGTCAAGAAAACGCGCAAAAATGCAACGACAAGCAAACAACAGTGCAATGAAGCATTGATTGCCAGCTTTGGTCCAATCTAGCTCTGAAATCCCGAAGGACTTGGCTGCAATAAAGAATCCTGAGATTCAGCATTTGCCAGGAGCTTGCGTGTCACTGGGCAAATCTGCTGCTTGGGCTGTGCATCGGCTGCTGCATCTAGGTCCCGTTGGGGAAGGGCTGCTGCTAAGGCTTTCCTTCCTTCATACAGCTCGTGCGGCTGGGTGCACAGCTCAGAATTGCATTAGAGTTGCAGCCGACCTCATGTCCAGTGCACCTTCTCCTCCTCTAATTTGTATTGCTGGTGCCATTGGCTCATAATTAGTCACGAAACCACGGTGCCCTTTCAACATGAGTCAAATCAAAGGATGTCCATGAGCCCTTGAAAAGGCACCGCTGCCTCATCTACGGCACCCACGGCCGTTCCCGACCCGCGGCGCTGGCCATGGGCCTCTCAGTACTGACATGATCTCCATTGATGATGCTACCAATACCAAGAATATCAGGAATATGAATATTGGTAGCTATACGCATAGTAGTCGTAGTAGTAGTAGGAGGAGTAGGAGTAGGATCAGGAGCAGTAGTCGTAGTAGTAGTCGTCGTAGTAGTCGTCGCGGTGGTGTTGTTTCTATCATTCCCTGCTGATACTAATCGAATATTCGAAAATCACTTACGGTTCAGTTTTCAAACTTCAGAGGTTCTAGGGACTTTTTGCAAAAAGTGGTCAGAAGCCAATCCCTACTCATCAACTGACGTTTGTAAGGGTTCAGACGCTCAGATATGATGTCGTCAGCTGTCCCAATCTCAGGCTACATGATGGTGGACCAAGGCGCCGTCGTGTTTGGCAGCGGCTATCTAGTCTAGCTGAACGAGGAAAGCACACTTGTGTGCCACAAGTGAGGGGTCTGGTCGCTGCCCGAGCAATTAGTTGCTGATGATCACATCCTCCTGACAGGGCTCTCGTTTGCGGCTGCGCTAAAGGCGGTCAGACGCCGCTTGGTCTGCAGCGGTGTCGCAGGCTGACGCTTTCTGTCTCGTTGTAACTTGAACTTGAACTTTCATATGCTAAGCTTAGGCAAGTACCCGCTTGCACACCCATCTGCCGCGCTGGTGGATGCGGTCACGACACTTTCATCGGAGCCTGAGGATGGCGCAAGAACCTTGAGAATTCAAGAGGCTTGCAATGAGGTGGTACGTGGCTTATGTGAATCACACCTGCGAATAGGGGTCCAAGCTGATTTTCAGACTCAACGTGTTCCTTACCCTTTCCCTCCCTTTGTATCTACTTAGTTCCGCCTGTGTCCATTCCTGGAGGAGGCTGCGGGGAAGTCGGCCCTAAAAGCTTGGGCTGGCAGCAAGGGCAGCAGCGTCACTGCAATAGCTTAGAGGAGAGAAAGTAAGAAGTGAAACTCCAAGCTCACAAATTGAGCCCTTCATCCTTAAACAGCCAGCGAGGCTCACCTTCAGCGGTGCCCTTGGCCCTGACAAATGGCAGCGCCAAAGCCGAGCTGGATGAGGAGGCTGCCAAGAAAATGTCTAACTTGCAGCTACCGCGTAGTCAGAAGACCTTGATGGTATGTTGTACGGACTTGACAGACAGCACTGCGCTGCGGTCAGGCGCTGGAAGCTGCAGTGCGCCAGCTGGGTGATGCTTGACGAAAACCATGACGGTGTCAGACAGTTTCAGATAGGACGACTCCATTCAGCAACCACAGTGCCCAGCCCCACAACACGAGTCTGATGAGAAAGAAATCTGCTTGGCCGAGATTTGCTACTTAAGTCTCCTTTCCAGAGCCTGATCAGCTTGAAACCGGATTTAAACGATGGCAATGCCAAAAATGCATTTGTTGATTTGGGGTACGCGGAACTCTATTGTCCATTTTGTCCAACCAAGTAGGAAGACGCGAGACACATTGATACTCTAGGCTCTCTCCGCCTCAGAAAAAGCCGAACCTGGTTGGTAGGCAGAAGAGGCAGGCTTTCAGTTTTCACCACGCTCGGCTCGGAGCAGCGCATCCTCTTAGGAGCTGCTCCCAGTACCCGCCGACCTGCGCCGCGAGGCGTTGGTTCGCTTCTCAGGATGCTCGGCTGATAGCAAGTCTTAGCATGACCCCGTTTCAAGAGCTGCGGCCAATTCAAGCAGAGGGTTTGCGGATGAAAGTCGAGGTTGTCCCTGCATGCAAGAATCTCAGTCAGAGTGCAGACTCATGGTATAGAGCATGGTGCAGCCTCGTGTCTCTCCAGCTAGTACGTTGGTCCTGTGCTTGGTCTTGAAAGCCTTGAACGGTGAGCATCACAGCTGCTGCGCACTCAGGCGACATCGAGAGGCACTCGCGCAAAATCATCACTCTCCTGCCAACACCAGCTGCATGGGTTCTCTCTCCTGGCATGTCCTGTTCAGTTTCATACATGTAAAGAGCCCCTGACCAGGGCTGCCTCGCAACTGATTTCCTGGCTAGAGGGCGATGCGCCCCAGCAGACGTGCTCCAGAAATGATTCAGTTCTCACGATCATGTTCATAGGCTGCCCAGCATGTCGGTGCACGAAGTATGAACTGTAGAACATGCGCCGGCGGCCTTGAGGGCCGTGGCGAGGCTTGACACGCGCATTCGGGTTCGCTCTGTGATGCAAGGGGTCACTCGAATAGCCTCCCCACATCCAAGTCTGCTGCAGGCATCGTTGAATCCATCTATGATTTGGTTAAGCTCCTGATTGGTGTACCTTTGCAAGCTGTTTAACTCTTAGATGCCATCCAAAGGCCTGCCCAGAATCAATGGATCTTGCCTGAAGACTAAACACCTCAATTTGGATATTGAGCCAATGACTGTTTTTAGGCTTGGCGCCTGGTGAGTCCCAGGTCAGCATCATCGTCATCCTCTGCATCGGCATCAGCGTCGGCATCTGCCCCAGCGCCAGCATCTGCAGGGGCATCGGCGGCAGCTTCTGCTGCGTCAGCAGCCTGTTGCAGATTGGCTCAGGGCGCACGCCCGTGTAGCATGTTGGGCACAGATTTTAGGACGGACCTTCGCCTCCCTACACCCTGATCGCACTTTGCAATGGCCGTGAGGTAGTCTCAAATCTGGGTCCAAGCATCTGTCTGCCATGCTGCTTCCGGACGGGCCTTTTAATTTCAGTACTAAATGCACCCAGCATCTCAGGACCCAGCCATAAACCCAGCAGTCAGGTTGGTAGCCGAAGCTCCTATAGCCCGATCTGAGAAGTGACTTTGTTTCAGATGATGCTCTTTTGTAGGTCACCGTAAGCTGGAGGAGTGGCACCAGCCAAAACTGGCCCAGTGCTTTGCAACGTACCCATAGGCCCCAAGGCCCTAGCAGGCCCTAGCAGGCTCCCTCCCAACTGCAACCTGTATGGGCTACAAATCAGGAACCTAAAATCCTAAAAAAAGGTACATGACCTGCAAACGCAAGCAAACTTTAGAGCTTTGCATTTTTTAAGGCCCAGCGCAGCGAGCCCTGCACACGCAAGCGCAGCGCCTCGGAGGTCTGCACTTAGCTTAGCCTCTTCAAACTTAGCGGTGGAATGAAGAATGTGTTATTGAAATTGTTTTCATTGGATGCCCCCAACGAAGTTGCAAAGAGGACGGCTCACCTTTTCCAAAGATCCTGCGACTTATAGTCTAGGTTGTTGTTGGCGCAAACAGCAAAGATTCCCCTAGTCTGACAGTCTGGACACGTAATCACTAAAGAGAAAGACGCAAGAGCATATCATCAAAACAAAACATCAGCTGCCAGTATCGACTGGTTGATCTAATTTTTCATGCAGGAGCGAAGGGGGCTGAGCTTGCCCGTTTGATTCATTTGTGTCATGGGAGTCTTTGGCACTTGGTCGCCACCCGAGAATGGACTTTTTCACTCTGCTGGTCCCCGCCGCGAGTCCAGCATCATCCTTACCACGATTAGAATTACTGCTGTGATTGTGATCATGCAGACCCTTCCGCTGACCATTAACACTAAGTAATTGTTTCGGAGCCTGGGCAGGACGGCACGGCTTCCTCGGAACCTCGGACAGAGGCACCACGCCTAGCGCAGTGCTACCTCGAGGGGCAGGCGAGCTGTCAAAATCCCTGCTTGGAGGGAACCCCCCGATGTAGTTGCACCGATAAGCATGGTATGCGGACTCCATAATCTTGACAACCCATCTCAACGTGTTTGAGCGGCAGCAGGCCTGCAACAGGGCGCAGCAAGGCTTCAGTATACCCCTGAAACCATGCATGCAACCTGTCAGCATGGCTGCTAGCAGCTAGCTTCACTCGAAAGTTCCTTGAATCGACCACACTTTGTCCTAGCCTTGCACCCGAACAGCTTCAGTCACCACCAGCTTCAGTCACCACAGCTGAAATACTGCGAGCGGCCCCACGATATATGATTCAAGCGTAAGACAAGCCAAACGACAGCAAACTCTTTTGCTGAACGTTTGGTATACTCACAACGCTGTCTCCAGGGAGCTTTCCAGCTCACCGCCCAGACCAGTCTGTTTGGTATGTTTTTATGATCTTACTGAGGCTGTGTGGGGAATATGGGAATGCATTATATAGCTCCCCTTTTCCCTACTAACAACCAGTGAGTAATTAGGGCTGTTCATTGCCATCTTAGCAGGAGCAGCTCCCCGAGTGCGTCATCTGCAGCCGCAGCTCCAAGCGCGGTGGTGCTGCGCCGGAGCCCTTCAGAGTCGCAGAGTCACAGCATTGCAAACAAGAAGAGTGTCAAGAGCAGTGGAAGATAGTGGAAGTATTCTTACAAATTGCAAGTTCTGGTAAATGCTGACATGTTAGTAGAATTCTGGCAGGAGCCTCACGCAGATCTTGGTTGGGTGCACAGAGCCCTGGCTATAGACGGGCAGACCTCTGCAAAGTGGCACTGTAGCGGACTTGATGGACTGCGATCACCGGCCGATTTGCTTCGAGCTAAGGTGTTTGCCTACAGCAGGCTAGCTGGACATAGTGACGTATTGTTACCTGCAGTGCAGCAGCTCCGCGTCAGCTTTGCAGCAGTTGCACAGTTTGAAAGACAGCTCAAAGTAGCTGGTAGATCATCGATTGCTGCTTCAAAACACGAGTTCAGTGTGGCGTGCTGCAGAACAGCGGCCTTGCACCCAACTGGAGGTCTCATGCTGCAAGGGCTGTGCTAGGTGCTAATCTTGCTAGTTCACTGCCAGAGGTTTAGGAAACCGCAAGCCTCCCAAGCCCACTTGTGTACACAAGCTGACGGCAAAACCTGCCAAGCGCCTAGATGTCACGACAAAGCCCAGCAGGAGCCGCCAGAGAAGCCATGCGTGTTGCGAGCTCTCATCACAGATGTTCTGTGCTTCGGCCGCAGTGTGTGTGCACACTTGTCTGGTTTGCCAATACAGCGTGGCAGCTCGCATGTCATGAAGTCTGAGGAAATTGGAAGGTGATGCGGCTGTGATCAATCTCAACCCCCAGGCGCATCACGTTGTCAGTCAGCCTGACAGGGAGACCGTATAGACCGTCCACGTCGCCTTGCCGCGTGCTGACACCCTCTGCTGTCGTTGACCTGTGCTGACCACAGAAGCCGCCATTGCACTACTTTGACTATTTCCTGAAGATGGACTGGGAGGCACCCAGCTAGCTGGCACGCAACAGTTTGGAAGTTGAGCGCTTGGATGCATAAGTGATGTGGGACCTGTTCCTAGTCCATGTGGCTTTATCGTAGAAGTTGCCGCCCATGTGCCAGTGCGCCTTTGTTGTAAGCTGGAATTAGATGATGTATCTATCTTCAGCCCGAGAGTCGGTTTGTTGGAGGTGCATATGGCTTCAGATGGTGATAAGTGAGAACCTCAGGGAAGGGCTAGCTTGCAAACTAGCCAACTGTTAGTTGCCATCAGCTATTGCAGCTGTTGTCGCACGCTCCATGCCGAGCTGGATCTCGACATCACATGGATTTTTTTTTGAGATCTTGGAGCAGTTCCTGCAAATCAAAGTTCCCCCTATACTAAAGGGCATCCGAAATCATGGCACCCTTCCGAGCCAAGGTCCTACCGCACTGCAGACGAGCTCATTGAGGAGCCAGCTTGTCCATTTTGAGGATCCTTGTTGTTATTGTAATGTTGACACATTGCTCTATCACGAGGTAACTTTGGGGATAACGTACCCCAAATTTGGCTCCTCAACTCGAAGTCCTGATGCAAGGCATACCTTCATTGGGACGTACTTGTTGGCATTCCTCCAATTTTCTTGATCTAATGCTCTGCCTGAGTATTGTCCCGCCACCATCGGGCGATATGAGCTAGGACACCAGGATGAAGATCTATTATGCCCACAGCATTGCGGTATGTGCTCCCCTATCCTAGCTGGAGAAATGGCTGGCTGTTCGATCCACTGTGGACATGGAACTGTTTCAGTTTGTTGGCAAGGCTGCCTCCAAGGACAACGAGCAAAAGGCGCTAATCGTGTGGACTGGGTTGGGGCGGAATCTTTGATCTTCGGGATATGCAGTTGCCATCCCTGTTCCGAGTCGAAGGCTCATTCTGACAGTTGTAGTTTCTTGCAATCAACCTCGATCACTATAACCTCATGATTACTTACTGCAAGAAGGGCGTAGAACTTGACTTGAAGGGGGTCATCACAGTGCCCTAAGCAAGGACCTTCAAGAACTGCCTGGGATTCAAGGGCAGGGACACCATCTAGATCCCCAGGCAGAAAAGGGCTGACATTCTCGGGTGCAGCACTCTCACCGCTCCCGATATACTTTGCAGAGATCTGTTCCTGAGCTGGGGCCACTGCCCACCGCCGCGTACCCGCGTACACATGTTTCCTCATCGGAGGCTCCGCCCTCTGTCGCTAAGAATCGAGTCATTGGTGGCACGGTCAAGATCAGGCGCCAAGACGTGTGCGGTGTGCTTGAAGGCAGGTGCTTCGATATAGTAAGGATCTGCCAGTACCATAGAAATCAATGAAAGTCTGCTAAGCGGCAGCGCAGCTCTTCCAAGATGCAAAGCTTGCACATGCGCCAGCCAGGGAGTTTAGCTCGGAGGAGATTCCCGCAGACGGCCAGCAGCAGCCTTAGCTAGTGGCGTTGTGCGGATCGAAGCATGCAGAAGATGCCTGACTCTGAAGCGCCCAACCAAAAAGCGTGCGAACCCGCTCCAGCAATCACGGCCAGAAACGTGCTGCGACGCAGGTGGCCACTCCTGGTCAAAGTGAAGCGGCGCGGCCCTCAGAATCGAAGCAGTTCAACCCACAGCAAGTGTCCTGGCGTCTTCTTTTCAGCGTGTAGGGTCTGCCCGATCAAATTCCATCATTGCTAATGCGGAAAATGATCTTGCAGCTGTGCTGTAGAGAACGACGTGAAAAATTTGAGCAACAGCAGTTGAGGCTCTGGGGGCAAGCCTCAAGCCTCCCAAATCAGCAAAACACTGGGTTGATTTGCAAGAAGCTCTAACCATAATCGCGCGGAAGGGCTTGCATGCTCTCTGCCCGATCTGTTGATTTTCATGTGATGTTGTCGTCCTACCTGCTGACGCAGGCAAAGGATTCCCAAATCCAAGCCTTTCTAGAACTGCTTGCCGGCCTCAGGCGCTGTCAGGCGGAAAACACGACAGCTCCGGAGCTGAAGCAGCTGGAGCACTTGCAGCTTCGCAGCAGGATGCCTTCAGCTATTAAACCCTGTCGTGGAAGCAGATGATGCTACATGTTTTTCCGCAAGCTGCAATCCGCGAAGCATCAATTGAGTGAGCAGTTCGAGCTAATCCCAGGTCGGAAGAACTGCGGGAGAGGCTTTTCTTGTTTGGATGGGGCGCGGGAAGTTTCTTTGGTCGACGCTATCCTTATGCATCCCTTATGCAATTGACGGGGCAGGACAACATGCAGAAGTGTCGCCTGCATAGCAAGCACGCCCCTTATAGTTTTTTTGGTAAACATTGCCGTAGAATCAAGAAATCAGCCCAAAGAAGAATCCAGCATTTGATAATGGACTGGCGACCGCAGGCGGTCCTTCGGTAGTGGCGCAATTGTAGCTGCCGAAGGCTTTTCCAGCAGGTGCAGAAGGCGTTATCTGCTTGGCTGGATGAGTGCGCCGCGCGTTATTGCATGGAGTCGCAATCGCTGTATGGCCTATCAGACATCATGCGTTCAAAGTTTACACGTTGATCAAAGAACTACAAGCTCCCGACTCCAATGACGCTCGCCGCCGCTGCAGGTACCGGGGCTACTGGGCTCCAGGCAGCTCCCAATGATCCCAGAGACCTAAGGTCTTGGTCCCGGGTCGAGGTAGGAAAGCAGAAGCCAGGCTCAGTAAGAATGCGACAGCACAGATCATCAGTGAGGTGGTGAAACTTCTGTATCGTTTGCCGGATTCAGACTTGGTGACCCGGAGTGCCAGAGCCTTCGGGGACCTTCGAAACGTGCCTGCTATTCTGCTCAAGCCTATATCATTGTAAGAAGCCAGCACCGCATAGCTGGCTTACGCGCCGAGAAAGTTGTGTTTGTCAAAACATGTATGTAAGTGGTACATGTCTTGAAGCCCATCCTCAATCTGTTTGAGCTACGGCTACTTGTTTTAAAGAGTGGTGCTTCATGATGGCGGGCGACACTGTACATATGCTCACACAGCCTGGGCGCACCGGCCTGTGTTCCTACACCAGTTCTCAGTAGGGTTGGGCTACGAATCATCTGTACGCATGATTTGCGCAGATTTCGTTGGCTCACTACGGGCAAAAATTGCCTGTGCGCTTTTGTATTCAAATTGAACTCGGCTGGTGCCACTGGAGGACTGTCGTAGCCATGGGCCTTGAAGGTGTATGCGTCGGACGGAAGCATTCTTCCTCCGACGCTTCGTCCCCACATTATGTTCAACGAGGCGGACCAGCATGGACCAGCTGTGTTCAACATCAGAGACCACCAGTGTGCGAGACTCGCTTGCAAAGCTCAAAAGATGCGGAGGACCTGTACCAGGTCATAGAACATGCACGGATTTGCCTAATTTTAGCCACCTAGCAGCCTTGCAGCATGGTGCAGTTTTATGCACATATCTTCACGCTTGTTTGTTTTTGCGTCATCCTGACGCTGCACGCAGGTCGCGCGCGATATCATTGCTGGAGGTGTTTCCACGGCAGCTGTTTCAGCTTTGCTGAATCCCATTGATGTCGCCGCGAACTTGGAGGAACAGAGGCGTCGCCGGGCTCGAAACAACTTCAGCTTGAGTGGCCATGGGTGGTTTTGCAAAGGAAGACCCTTCTTGGCAGCCAGACAAGCAGGAATTCAGCCATTTCCACAACCACCTGCAAGCTTCCATGAACTGCCTCAGCCATGCCAGTCGCAGGGCTTTTAAACGGGAGACAGCATTCAAATCATCTCGGTGTCTCATGAGGGAGAGAAGGCCGCAAGTTCTCGTCTTCAGGCTTGCACAGATGGGCATGATCTCGGTGTACGCCGAAAATCTTAGAAAGACTTGCATTTTTACCGCATGCCTCCCGCTTATGTTGTTGTCCAGGTATTATGTAGTAGCAAGTAGATTGAGGCCTCATTCATGCCTCTTCCTTCATCCTTATTCGGCAGCCTGCAGCTGCCCTCACTATGAGGTCAAGACACGCCGGCAGGTGGGCATCCCCCGAACGGCTATCCAAGAGGCTTCTGCTGGACTTGTTGCAGAAGCAGTGTGGTAACTCGCAAGTACTGCACGGCATCTTGCCACGACTCCCACGGTTGTGGATGAGGGCCATTCTTCCATGAGTAGAGGCCTAGTACCAATTGCAGGAGAATTTGCTTTCCTGTCGGCTGCAGTACAGGAAGCATCCTGAGGCAAGACCTTTTCTAGGTATGGGCCTGCAAGTTGAAAGGACATATACTGCACTTAGAAGCACTTGCAGTGGGTTCTGTCTAGCTGGTACTATTCAAGCTCCACAGCCTGTGAGGCCCTTGCGGCCTATCAGCAGCAGGGCGTGTGGCAGGGCCTGTGGAGGCCATTCAGAGAAAGTGGGAGAA